CAGCTTCCTAGGTATTGGACAAAGAACGAGCGCTACGGTGCATTTGATTATAACTGGGCGTTGGTTGACGGATGGATGAATCCGCCGTGGAGGTTGATACATAGCATGCTTCGGAAGATCAAAGTTACTTTGGACACCTCGTGCACCATGGTTTGACCTTTTCAAATCATTATTGCAAACCGAGCCAGTATTAGTACCTCGGACCCCGCATACATTTCTAAAGTATGCGAAGTATGCCTGTGGGAAGACGCCGTGGGGACACACGGTCGTTGCACGAGTGGGGCCGCCGTCAAGTTTCCAGCTCGCCGAGAGCTTTATACAAAGAGTAAGCTATGCCGAACCTCGAAACACACCATATCATCAGTGTTTGGATACGGCACGAGAGATTTCCGTGGTGTTAACTAGTGAGGGGGCACAACCGGCCTTTGCGAATGCCATACCGATGGAACAACAACGGTGTACACAACTCACACAGGCACAGCATGAGCTAGGCCACCACGGCGCTGTCGATACTGTCCAACAGTTACAACAGAACGGCCACGTTTGGCCGGGGGCATTAGAACTGGCTACAGAAATTAAACGGCAGTGTGGACAGTGTTTGGGCCAGGATACCCTACGTAAAGGCTTCCATCCGATAAGAAGCATTGATGCAAAATACCCTTGAAATCATATTCAGGTGGACTATATTCCAATGCCGGTAACGTCCACAAGACAGAATAAATTTGTCCTCCATGTATTAGACGTGGCTTCCGGCTATTCGATCTTACGTGCGACACCCGATAAGACTAAGGAAACCACAGCGCAGATGTTGTTGTCTATCTTTGGCGAACATGGCTTCCCTCGCAAGCTACAGACAGATATGGGCAATGAGTTTACGAACAACATGGTCGCCCTCGTTGTCAAGGCAGTGGTTATACTTCACAAAGTATCACCACCTTACAGACCACTGGTGTTGGGGGTAACGGAACGTCGGCACAAGGAGATAACACGTTTGAAATGCATCGTCTGTGAGGTAGTACCCCAAGCATTTGACGAACGTTCCCTTTTACAATGCTGTACCAGAACTTGCGCATCTCCCGACGACACAAAAGCGCGCCGTTTAGTGTTTATTTCGGACGTCGACACGTGCCGTTTGCGGATTTCACCGATGACGTCCTAGAGCAACAACCGGTTACTAATGACACGTGGGCACAACGGTTGGACCAGCTCCAGGATACAATTTTGCCTACACTGCATAAGATCACCACGACCTATGCAGATAAATTGACGAAGACATTTGATCGGTTACACGCCCATGACTTAGTCCACTATGATGAAGGCAACGTCGTGATGGTGAAATCGGAGGGGCGAACTTCCAAAGCCATGCGCCCACTGTTTGCCCATAGGTAGTTAAAGGCCGCAACGGTCAAGGTTATGACCTTACACATAGAGATGGGTCCACTCCCCAGGAGTTTAAGGGGAAGCCGGTACGGGTTGAGTTACTACGGTTAGTCCATTGCAATACAGACCCACCGTTGAACGATGATCCTTGGCAAGAAGGCGAATCAGCGTTCCGTCACATCATCAAACATAGGACAAATGATGTTACGGGTAAACTCGAATATCTGGTGCGTTGGCATGAGGGGGTGTCGACGTGGGAAACGGCCGAGGTCTTTGACGACGCTAATGACATTGTGGCATATCACAGAGATACACAGACACAAGCTCGGAAACGCCGGAGAGACCAGCTATAGTTAGAAGATAATTTTGTTAATAGATATAATTTTATGTTATGTGTATTTACCGTTTAGTCACCAGATCGAGTGGTGAACAAATAGCCGAGCCCTCTAGCTCTCTGAGGTTAAATGCCAGCACAATGCTCTAGCTTTCTGAGGATAAATGCCAGCACAATGCTCTAGCTCTCTGAGGATAAATGCCAGCACGTAACCGCTTTCAGGGCATTCCTTCAATCTTTTAAGCTCGCACACTTGCGGTATTTCAGCTTGGGGGGTTGTAGTCAGGAAGTCCCTGATAGGGCTTATTTAGGATTAGGGTTTATTTGATATTTGGGTTTTATTAGAGACTACATTTTGAACTGGGTTTATCCAATCAGGTTAAAACTGATTAACGGAAAACACATGACCAAAATGATAGTCACAGGATTTAGTTCAATAAATGAACAATGTCTCCGTTCGACAACCCCCTTAACTCTTCTTCTGATATATCAGCAAAAATCATTGTTGTTTTCTTCTATACCTATTGTACCCTTCCTGGGTCCCTACTAGATTCCTAGCCTTAGTTCTCTAAGATATTCAATTCCTAACCAAGCTCTATCAGCTAGTTAATATTGTAATAAAACACGCTTCGATAACGATATCTCAACGTACTCCTCTTTACAGAGGTTAGTCGTTGGTTATTTATTGAATATCTTTGGTTCATAAAACCATGTGTTTATTTGATCAGAAATATTGATCAAATAAACCTTAAACTTAGTTTACAAATTCTATCAAAACTAACCTATTAACCCTAAGCCTGTATTCCTGACCACACCTGTATTTCAATTTTCTGGTGTTATAGGGGTCGACGGCAGGTTTTTTGATACACTCGCAAGCTATTTCATCCGAGATCATGCTCGAAGGAAGTTTCGTGAGCTTCTTACAGAATTGTGCATCATCAATCACCAAATTACAAAGCTGTGAAAACAGCGAGGCGAGTATACTGATAGTTTTTGACGGCTTTAGAATCGTAGAGAAATTGGCCAACTATAGTCGATCACAAGAACGGAAAGAATATCTGAATCAAGTACACAAGATCAAGAAAGGTGCTATTAGTAAGAAAGAGTTTGACGAGACTAAGATGTGCAGGGGTGCTATTGGGCCTATAGCATAGACTGTGCAAAGATGTTAATGCTTCTGTGTATTGACATGAATGTACCTTTCATCGTCGCACCACAAGAGGCAGAGCAGAAGATAGCTGCATTGCAGGTTGAGGGCGGTGTTGGTTATATTCTTGCGTACGACACTGACTACATTGTTCTTGGCTGCGACAACATTGTTGTAGATAATCGGCGGCGTACTGGTGCAGCTAAAATTCTGTACAGGTCACAATGTACGAAGGCTGCAGTACAGACATTGCTCGAACGACGTTTCTCGGAATCTGACACATAATCTGCGCGTGTTTTTATCTGCCGTATGTATGCTTGGCTTTGATCAGGTGATAATGTTGGTGGCGTTGTTGATGACTACTGACTACCGCACAAGCACACGAATACAACCACGAGGACTCTGTAGTATGCTTGAGACGCTAGGCGAGGATGCGAGTGTTCATAATGGAGTATCTATAGCAAGCAAGGGTAATAAAAAATTGATAAACATGGGTTTGCAGGCGATCGTACAGGTGAAGTTGATGTTCTTTTGTCAACCTGTATATAGCGACCTCACAATTGAATTGATACCCTTTATGGATAAAGTTGTTGAGCGTAAGCAAGAGTCTCTCGGACTGACAGATGGGCAGATACGAACCAAAACATCGTCTCCAATATATAGTTTGTCGCATCATGCAACACTGTGTTGGGTTGTTCGATATAACTGCACCACCATGGGTTATGCTGTTAAGTAACATGATTGGTCTGACACCCTTACCGTATGAGCGCATGGACTTCGAAAAAGGATCTCGTCAACTTTGCAAGTTGGAAAGCGCTCAAGTTAAAACAATACGCCAAGGAGGGATCAATAGTGATTCCTAAAGCGTATGAGGTGAAAACTAAATTGGTAGAGTATTTGTAATATAATATGCGCGCACGTAAAGCTGTGATTGAAAAGGAAATGTTCCAGAATCACTGGCAGCCTTATTAACAGCTATATTGCAATTGGAGGAAGACGTCAGAGTGCAATTCAGTAGGCAGGAATTTGTGGAGTATATCTATAATGTGGTTAAAAAGGTTCTTCTGTCTGACTTCTAAAGTTATCAAACAATACTTCGGTCCTCATGAATATACACAGCGGGCTACAGAACAGGGGTTTTAGAAGCCTAAATCACCTGTGCCGGATTCCTTGCCGACCAATAAAATACACAATACATCCATCATATCTGAGCACATAGAGTGAGTAGCCTTCCCCTTTATACACTTCATCTGTATTTACCAACGAACACGAGCAGCACGAAGGAGTCTACGCACGCAAGTGAGCCAAGTCGTACACACAAGCGAGGAAGCACAAGCCGTACCGATAGAACCAGGCCAGTACACGCAGACACAATGCCAGTCTCCCAAGCATCCTCACGCACCTCCACTCCTCACAATGGAGAGGGAGCGATGCACATGGACGATGAATCCGCACCAGCAAGAGCACCACTAGACCAAGCAACGAGTAAGTTCAAGGTAGTCATCGACACAACCGTCTATGACGGCGTTGCTTACATTGTAGGCATACTAGTGGACAAGCTATATGCATAGAAGGCGGACGACCCCATTGACATACGAGCACTCCATTAATTCCGTAATGCAGTTCACACCAGCAACCTAATAGTAGATCGATGGTTATCAGAGCTATACAATAGAGCTATGAAGAACTGTGATAAAAGTGATCACAATGAGTATATTGCGGTTGGTGGCTTTATGAGCGAGTTAACTCAAATTAGGTCACATGTAGGTGATAAAATTTCAGAACCAGAGATGACCAAGCTATTCAAAATGAATGAGTTCTCCAAGTGGCCAACGCACAAGTATGATAGCATGGCTGACTGTCGTGATACAATTGAGTTTGTATATGTAGCAAAAGACTTGTTTGCGAGCACAAACATGCCATTAACACAGTATCTATCACTCGTACAAGTTCAAGGTAGTCATCGACACAACCATCTATGACGGCAATACTTACATTGTAGGCATACTAGTGGACAAGCTATATGCACAGAAGGCGGACGACCCCATTGACATACGAGCACTCTATTAATTCCGTAATGCAGTTCACACCAGCAACCTAATAGTAGATCGATGTTTATCAGAGCTATACAATAAAGCTATGAAGGACTGTGGTAAAAGTGATCACGATGTGTGTATTGCGATTGGTGGCTTTATGAGCGAGTTAACTCAAATTAGGACACATATAGGTGATAAAATTTCAGAACCAGAGATGACCAAGCTATTCAAAATGAGTGAATTCTCCAAGTGGCCAACGCACAAGTATGATAGCATGGCTGACTGTCGTTATGCAATTGAGTTTGTATATGTAGCAAAAGACTTGTTTGCGAGAACAAACATGCCATTAGTACAGTATCTATCACTCGTACAAGAATTGCTCAGACAAACAGATGCAACGGAGGTATCGCGCACTGCACTCAACAACATACGTAGTTCCAGACAGCTTTGGAAAGACTTCACTGATGTAGAAGACTACAATATATCAATCATTGACAACTTGCGTCGTACTCCAGTAGACTGTCTACTAGAGAGGTGGCTCAACGACTTCTATGACACTCGCATGAATGTTGAAGTACGAGCAGCACGATTGCGTCGCACAATGTTTGAGCTAGAGAAAGGATACAAAAACAATGTGAGAGAGTCCATTAATCGGCAATTCAGTTCCTCTCAAAATCTACACATCTTCTGGCTCTCCCCCTGGCTCGATACTTTCACGTAGTATTTTCTCAAGAAAACACAATCATCTTCTTTGATAGGCTTTAAGTAGCATAATAAATTGTCACACAGCACTTTCTATCTACATCAGTTAGTTTCGCCGCTAATATTTTTCGAATGCCCCTGTTGGATAGTTCCTCCGCCGATGTATTTAACTCAGACCTTTCCAACAGAACAACCTTCAAATTATTATTCAGAGTGACTGGTAATTCAAATTTGCTGTATGCGAAATGTAATTCATTGAGTTTCTTTTACCATATCTTGTACCATTGCTTTTAGCACTGTAAAGTCCCGATTTTGCGAACACTTAATGTCATCACAATCTACCCTGCAATGGGATACCGGTTTTCATTGATAAGTTTCCACATCAAATCTTGGATTTAGGTTTGACTTGCGTACGTTTTAGATTATCTTCATTCAATTTGGCATGCATCAGATAATCTATATTCTCGCCAGTACCACTGTTAGCTTCATCAGTCGGGTATCCAAGAAGTCAAATCATGTAATGCCACATATTTATTTCACTTGGAGTATAGATTAAAAAAAAGGTATGTATCATTTATTTAGGTGTTTTGATCGTTCTGCTGCATAACTGTATCTCTTAGCTACCGTGTTTTCTCTGTATTTAGGACATGCAGTACCAGATCAATTTTGTGGCGAGGTTGGCTTTGATACACTGTCTCCTCTTCAGACGTTGGAATATTTGCACATGGGATAATTGTCTTCTTGCAACATACAACCTACAATGATAAAAAGCATTTTTAGTGGCACCTGACATTGTAACTATTTCTCGATCAGGCTGTGCATAAAATGATTCAGTGATTTCGTGCGTGCCATCACAAAATGATGTCACCAAAAATGACCATAGAGCTTGATGTTTAAGGTCTGCTACAACAATACTATTTACCTAACTATATAGAAACCGAGAATGTGTTGACAGGTTGAACTTTCTTTTGGAAACGGCCAATATCAAGTCTTGAGACACTGAGTTATAGTATACACTTTTGTTGTGTAAATCACTATGGTTCCTAAAGAGAGTCTGATATGCAATCTTCGCGGCCGTCGAAGTAAAACTTTCCATTGTATATGAAAACCGAGAACGTCTTGACGGGGTTGACCTTTCTCCTGGAAACATCAAATACCAAGTCTTTGACGTTGAGTTCTGATAAAAACCTTTTGTGTAAAACCTACTACGAAACAGTATGGACAGTTTGACAAGCAAATTTCACGGCATTTGAAGTAACCAGTTTTCATCGTAATTCATTTTCTTTTACGAAAAGAAACAGCACTGCTCAGCAGTGACAAATAAAAGGCAACTAAAGACGAAAAGTTTCTCACAGAGGGTACACCAGCGAAGTATTACAGGACTGTGTGTGCTCACGCGGATATAGTTGCAACTTGGAATACATAGTTTTTGTCAGGAAATTCATCGTCGACAGCGAAGCTCAATCTGAAGAGCAGTGAGAGACTACAGCTCTCAGAGCAAATTTTACAGCAAGAAAACGCATTGATTTATAGTAGTCATTAAAGTCGGCTCACTCTAGAGCTCGTTGAGTTTTCTTAAATCACTCCCGAGAGTTGAGTCGATTTCATAACCGACTCTCGAGAACTGATTTAGCATATCAATTTGCGCCCCTACGTGAGTCACAGCCTATGCGGAAGAGCTTCATGTTTTCAGCGCGAGTCAAAGTGTTAAAATGTTCTGTAGAAGGTTTCTAATAGTGACCACATGAGATTTTATTCTGGCCAGCCCAAGCGGTTGAATACTGGTACAAATCAAAGGTGAGATCAGATATAAAGATATACATTTGCACTTATTTAAAGTCTACAGCCTTACACTCTAATAACAAAAAGTCAACAACTTTCGAATACATATTCCATGATTTTCTCTATCAATCACGCAACAATACTTTTTAGGTACATTTCATTTATTCAGCCGAAATAAAATTCGCTACCTAGATTAATAACTGCCAAGAATATCTTCACTTTCCTCATGGGGTCCGACCTTCTGTTAGACACTATATTTAGTCGCGTGTGCACATACGGGTCGTGCATGGCCAAACTTCGAATACGGACTCGTCTATCAGCACGACTCTTAACTTGCTCGAATTCAAGAATCAATGGGCGAGTCGACGCAATCTCTGTTGCAAGTCCCGCATTGTTATCGAAAAACTCTTCAGTTCTTTGACTTTGACACATTTGTCACACAGCGAGGTGTATTATATTCAATATCTGGAAAATCGGGCAGAGGAACATATGAAAAGTTACGAACAGTTTCCCAGTAGGCTAGTTCAAAGGCAATGAAATCCTTCGATTTCGATTGAATTTTTATTAGGCGAATTAAATGATCAATACAGCAAAGTTCCGCAATCACAGTGGAGCTTTAGATTGATAGTGAATGTAGTTCTGGTACGCCTTTCTGAATGCAATAAATAAAAAGGAATCACATTCCAGCGAATGCTAAAATCCAAACACTCTGCTCAATGCTAGCATCCATAGCGAAGATTCAGTCACACTCGTAGGCATACTACATTGATCTTTGTGCGACATCTATATAGTGTGACACCTCTTGTGCGACTTGTTTTGTAGTTATCATAACATCAGCTCGTGGGTATGAATCGCAGAATATGCGCATACAACGGGATCGCTGATTCAAGTTCAAGCATGACTAAGGGTTCAACCCGCATGATTTGGTTTTCAGGACATAAATTCATGACATTTGTACCATCAGGCTTTAGCTATGCGTGGTATACATTTTTACGCGACTTACCCTGACTATACCTTTTTTTTATACGACACAGGTCCTCTGACCTGTCCGATGTAAGGATGGCTCTAGGGTAGGGTAAGATACATCCTTGTGGAGGGTGGTGATCCCCGTAAGGGGATGTAGGAGCGTCCGTAGTTTTAGGATAAAAGGATGCTCTTGCCCCATCCGATTTTAGGTTCCTGCTGTTCCAAGGTGATCTTTTCCCCGTGGTCCCACCCCACGACTTTTAATAAAGATTTTTTCCTTCACTTTACAGTCCCGATCCCGACTCTGCAACCTAATTAGTGCTCTATAACAAACTTAATTGCACTATTGATGTAGTGTACAAGACCCGAACAAGATGTCGTACATACACAGCAAATTTTCGCCATCCGGGATGGTAGGCGTTGTTAAAGAAATTGAATGTTATGCTATTCCTCGGACATTTACCGTTTTAATCCTAGATGAAGAATTCTCTGACCGATTAGACGGCCCACGAGTGGGTACGCCTGTGTTTTCCAATGCCAATGTGTATTCTATAATTATTAATCAACAACCACATTCTTGTTGCAGAAGGACAGAAGGATACAAAACAATCCCGTATTCGTTAAAAGGTACAATACAACTAGACTACTAACTGATCGCTAGGCCACAAGTTCGCTTGATATTGGTCTATCCGAAGACACAACTACGCCGCGCGCGGTAACAAGGCCAAACGACTGGCTGTATATGGCTCGTTGCCCGTCGCATACTATATTTATACGATAATCTGAAACGTCGTCAAAATTTTAAACTATATGCTCTGCGTATAATCGGGTCAGATGAAAGGACACCCGGTCTGAAAAACTAATTTGTTTCTTCTAGAATCAATCTTTAGGCTTCAAAGAATTCTTGTAGCAATCAACGATATGGTTCAATAATAAAGGCATAAGAGCCGTACCTTGTATATGTAACAGCCGCATCGTGTAAATCCAGCACCTGCAGTGCCTTTCTGCTATTGTAACGGCGAATCCGATTATCATAGCACGAATGAAACCTACGATGGGAAGGTATGCACGACTCATCAGCGAAGCAGTAATTCTTTACTGCTGCTCCCAGAATACGCGAAGTTGTTCCCGCTAGCTCTCTCACTATTGCTTTATGTATCGGTCGAACGTATTTGGTACGAATTATAAACATAGGGTTGTCATGGGTTCATAAATTTTAATTTTAATTTTTAATGATTGTTTTTTAATATATACTACTAATTTGCAATGCTAATTTACTTCACTAATTTCAACTTGTACTTGAGCAACAAAAATGTGACTGCCTGCGTAAGCAGGAATATGCCAAACAATATACATATATCCATAGCATAGGCCGATTCATTGAAACCGAGATCGTCCATTAAATCAGCAGCATTGATGACTACATCGGCAGTTCCAAGCGCCACCCCTTGGAATTGAATGTCCTAGTAGGAAGAAAAATAGTATACCTGGTCAGAAAACGTTCAGCTTTCTTTCATTCAATTGCAAATGATTAAAAATGGTCGTAGCATTCGATTTCAATGCCATTACTAATTCACTTCCTTTTGCCATAGAAAGTCAAGCATGCTTGCATAGTACTAAATATAGTACGAACACTTGTGAGCCGTAGTCGAGCTGTAGGCAAGCTAGTGAGCCATCGTAAATTATTCTTCAACACAATACATCAGGAGAGCAAGTACCACTGAGCAAGCATATACATATTCCTCCGACTAAAAACTCAATATTATCGACAAAGAATTTGCACTATTAGACCGTAGCTTGCTTGAAATGTAGTAATACAGGACTGTATTTTTATATTTTCAAGAGATCATGACAACAGTATCGAGTATCACACAAAAAACCTGAGACAACTGTGATCTGGAATTGGTTGTGCGTACATATAGAGCAAAAATAACACCCCACACCTCGTGACCCACAAATGAGTTGCAAGTGTCACACACCTTTAGCTCATTAATTACTAGCGCCTCGTACGCGTAGTGAAAGAAGGACAGGTAGTGCAGCCAAGCAGCCCAGGGAGGCATAGCTCCGTCGTTATTGAAGAGATTTGTGAGCGCAAGGGACAGTAGGATCACTAATGAGGCCACCAACAGCGCCAGTGCACGGTTTTTGATAGCGATACCAATCAGCATACAGATAGATGCCGCTGTCAGGTTACACAGGGTCAAAACAGTGGCGAATCTGCGACGAGAAACCAAAATAATCAGTGTCTAGCAATAAGAATAATAGGCGTAATATTCAACTATTAAAACAGAGCAGAACGCATCACTTGCTAAGTGACAAGGGCTTGTGTTTCATTGAACTCACGAAAGTCTCACGATCTCCAACACTATTGAAAACTACTCAATACTATTATATCCGCATAAATTACACCTAAGTATGAACGGACACATGCATGCTAGACCGACTTAAAATAATAAAGCACAAAAGTAGCGAGGAACATACACGACGAAATGTATGAAGCCGCTTCGCATATTCATCATGAAGTAGAAAATCACAGCCGTGAACATTGGAGGAATTATTCGCAGCAGGGTCAAATCGAACATTGCCTTCGAGAGAAAAAAGCTGCCTGCGTCATAGAATCCATTCGCTCTCTCGGTTAAAAATCTGTGGTTTAGACAGCAAAAGAAAATATTGTAGCGGGCTTGGAACCATTCCAGGAGACGCAAGCTACCGTTGCGAGTACACGCGCGCTTCACTAACTACGAAAATAATTTGGGTTTCCATTACATGACATTTCAAGCCAATACTTCCAAACGAGATGAAATATGCCCATCCGCTTACATTACTCGTTCCGTTTCGAACACCTCGAGAGACGTTAGTCCTCCGAAGGACAAGAAAGCACACAACAGCAACAGTGCCCCCAGTTGTTGTTGTGCTTGGCCAATGATTTCTTCGTCGAGCGATTCTCCTAGAGAGTTGATACCTACAAATGAAGACATAATGCCAGTTATTTAGTGCTGTGTAACGTTCTCTGTAATCATAGTATATATAAAATTGTCTCTGCCACACTGAGAAATATCCCTCGGCGAGTCTAATATTTGATGCTTGATTTTCATAGTCTGATTGCTACGCGACACCAGTCAAAAGAATGAGTGCTGTATAAGGTGTATCGTGTTCTTTTGCATCGCAATCTTTATGCACACGTATTTTGTACACTACTGGAGTACAATACGCATGTATACCTGTCTCATAGTTACTGACACTTGCCAAGTGTGATCACAACAACTGCCAACCAAGAGTACCGGTACTGATCAGAAAACATACCCGAATCAAAGTAGAGGAGACCGAGGATAAGGCCCGTAAGTATACCTACACTCCAATGCGCAACAACCAGGTGGGGATCTCGCCGCAGATTGGCCAGTGTTCGATGACTGAGTGTTAGTGTCTGTGTCCAGAAGGACGCGTGGGTATTCGTTCGCGAGCTTGGAGTTTCATCTTTGGAGTCTGTAGGCATCGATGTTTAAACATTAGTGGAGGTCCATAGAGCGACAGAAAAGTAGCTAGACCTGTAAGAACTCAGTGTACTCAACATGGGCACCTTTGGCCTTCGAAAGATGTCCGTTGGGGCCCGGGTTTGATAACAACAAACGAACAGACTGAACTAATTCCTTGTATATAGTTTCGCAAGCAAAAACCTTGTGCCATATTGTGCCCCATTTCTACAAACAATTAAATTCCTCCCCACCTTCCCCACCCCACACCTTACCGTCAGCCTCAGAGCTCCCCTCAGTTGCTGTATTATCCGCCGTATCTGAACCAGCGCTGCAAGTGTCGACAACAGTGGTTAGTTCTGTCTCGTTCCTTGAGTCCTCCGGTCCTATAGAGACCGTGCTTTGCGCCGGAGGCTCTGTCAGTTTTAAAGCAGAGGTTAAAAATTTGAAAATCTATGAGCATAAATAATAAAAACTATGTATCATGCAGAGAACAGTGAATTTGGGATTTAGGGTTTGCATTTGGTCTAACCGTCCTGTACCACATGGAGGGGATACGCAATACGCAGACAGCAATCGAATCACAGATACACTCGATGACACACACAAGCACTCCATACGTCATAGATGCACTGGTGAAACATAGAGATTTATCCTAATTTTACAATACCACGACCCACCATATAAGACACACACTCTCACAGCTCCGATACGATGCCTGCCCTCTCGAGGTTTCCTACCCCGAGTATTGGTTGAAACGAGTGAGTGGGCAAAAATAGGTCAGAAACGGAGAGCTACCACGGGCAGACTAGGCGTGTAATGACAAACGACCATCAAACCCCTTCCTTAGTTTGAACCTACAGCAAATTGCAATTTCACTAGATATTGTGTTGTTGATACACACATACATAATGTCACTCAGTAGCACACAGGTATGCGCAGAGAACAAAGGGAAAAGCAAAACTAAAGGCGCAGAGTAATACCTGCTACCACCGGCCAATCATCCACAAGATTATATGTATCATACACATACCTATATACTAAATTTCTCATGGAATCCCACGACCACGTAACTCCAGTATGTTTAACAACCTCGTTTCCACACACTCGAACACACGCATAATACACAAACACAGGCTAGTCACTGCAGCAAAAAAGGTTAGATACCGCTATGAAGAATACATACCGCTGCTTTGAGCGGACTGGTACTTCAGAGTTGATTTCTCGTCTTCTCTGAGAAGGACTGGAGTCAGACCCGCTTCACTATTTGTTGGGTCGACGTCTGCCGCGCTGCATACGAGAGATGACAGACAAGTTTACATTGTGTCGGAAATACACTCCTATGCTGCAGTATATTCGATCATGACATGCGCTAAGGATACTGAATCCGTAGTTAGTGACGTGTTCTTTATAAACATGCCAGAACAGATATCTCGCGCGAAACCCGAAGGAGGCGTCGGCCACATCTATTGCGGCTGAGAGGTGGGCGCCAGATAGGAACGCGTTTATAACATACACCAGACGGAAGTCATGCAGAAGTCAGGCGAGTGCAAGCATTCAAAGATGATAGGTGAAAGACCTTGCATATTGTCAGACCCACAGACACGAACATGATGAAGGTAGAGCATCAAGTAGGGTCTCATAGATATGACTGGCAACGGAACGACCAAATCTGGAATTTAGGGGAGGTGAGGGAAATAACATCTCTAAAAAAAATACGTTTTACTTGTTTTGCAAGAATCTACTTTAAGCGATAAAACGTATACTTTGGAGGTGTTCGACCCCTGAAAAATACGCCGGTTTGAGCCCCCGCATATATTTTACGTGGATGGAAATAACCCAATGCATATACCATTGCGATTCATCAATTCATTATGCTGCACTAGCATTATCATCCACTACTCAAACGCGTGAATGGGATTGAACATGTCATGATATAACAACAAACATCACAACACAGCCCGTTATGGCCCCGTAAGAAGATTAGGCCTTTCACTAAGGGTGTGTCTACAAACATAAAACAACAGACCTACACAAATGCAATTGACTGACCACACAATGGGGCAACCGCACCTTGCCGTCTTCGGGGCGAACCAATTCCGTGACTTGCGATTGCGCTTAGTATCGTTTCTGTTCTCCTGCGCTTGGATGACTCTTGCAGCTTCCGAACTCATGTTGTGTGCGTGCTGACTTTCTTGGTATCTGCACGGTGACCAATAGTGCAATGAGTGTGTGAACTTAGTTGGTACTTGCACAATGAAACAACTCAACATACATGCAAAGGTGGCTGTAGGTGGGTATATATCGAACATTGCGGAATCAGCTGCTGTGAGGAGTGTCCGGGTGATTGGACTAATACGGTGTCTGGACACGCTTAGGGCTGGTATCAAATAAGTTCGACCATCAACAGCGATACGTAGATAATTATAGCATACACGTCAAGGTTTGCGCCATGGTCGGCTAGAGACCACGGCAGTTTAAACGACCCTACGCTTCTTCCTCATCGCACAAAGTCGGAGCACTAAGCACTATTCAAATGTACCAACTTCTTTTGCAATGCGTATTCTATTGCATATACACATACACCACTCATGCTACGTCTAGATGTATCCGTATACAGTATTCAAGCCCAACACCGCTAGCCCCATAGACACCAACTACGTGTTGCCGACTGCGCGCTCTATGGCTGTATCAGCACCAGAGGTACTGCCGCAAGACCCCTCAACAGGAAGTTACAGTGCTGAAACCCCAATACAGCTACTACTGCAAATCATATCCAACGCACACACACCACAGATAGCACACGAACCAATGACACTCATACCCGTTCACTAAGTCCGACACCGTCAGATCCTTTGACACCATAGACGTGCTACCCTCCCCAAGGTCTGTGTGGATGTCAGTATCAGAGGCATTGCGGCTGGATCCCTCCTGGACCTCACGGCTGTCTGTGTGTGCGAGATTATTGGAGAAGCGTCTCTCCAACGCGGCCTGTCGTATATCGTCTTGGCGCTGATTTTCATCGATTGCCTTGAAGTCTGATTCTCTCTGCAAGAAAATGAATGGTTAGTGTTCAGGAGTGCCATCTTTGCTGTTCGTACAAAGCGACTAGTATGAAGCCTGGTCGAAGGGTGAGCAGTCTAAACGGTAATGTCTGAGAACTTCAAGCACTATCGTAATCCG